AATTAGAATCTGTTATAGATGCTTATATTTTCAAAGACCTCAAAAATGTAGATTTATGTTGTTCTTTCTCCCAGTTTATGGCATAAACACTTTAAAATGTTTGAACTTAATGAAATCATGGGTTAAAGAGACAGCAAATTGTTTGTACAATTACTTAATAGGTTGTGTAAAGGTAAACACACAGTAGCTGACATTGCAAAACTTAACAACCCAATAGATGTACCTCACTTATTTATACAGAATGCTAAAGTAGATGAATGTAATCAAAGGGCCCATAATGCAGCCACAGGAAACAAATTCACAATAAATGCTCAAGATAGTGTTATTGGAGCTATCTCTCCAGAGCTAAGAAACAAAATACTAAGACAAATACCCAATGATCCAAGAAAAAAAAAACAGTTAGCCTCAACCCTTTGTCTTGCTGAGGGTGAAAGAACACAACTTGTCATGAATGTACGAACCGAAGATGGCATGACAAATGGTGCTGGAAATGTTGTTAAACTAGTTCAGTTACATCAACAAACCAAACCATCTGGTATTGTATGGGTACAATTTGACCACTCAGATGTAGGTCAGAAAACAAGGAATGAAAAAAGACATTTGTATGTACAAGGAATTGAACACACATGGACCCCAGTAAACCCTGTGACTACACAGTTTGGTAGGTAGAAACAGAACAGCACAAGTTGTTAGAAAACAATTTCCACTGCGTCCCACAGCAGCAAAAACAATTCACAGGTCACAAGGTGATACTGACAGTAGAATTGTTGTGGATTTTAGTACCAGAAATACTATTCCACACATACATTATGTGGGACTCAGTAGAGTGACTGCTATGGAAGGCCTATATATTTCTGATTTGTGTGAAAGCAAGATTGTTGTTAATCCAGATGGAGAGGTTAAGAACAACTGCAAAACTTAAGCTTTGCATCTCCCCTCTCCATGACATAACATTTTCCCTTCTTAAACTTTGTTATCTTAATGTAAGGTCTCTTCACAAACACTTAGAAGATATATGTAAAGACTTAATTTATCTAAGTGCTGATATCAATATTTTCGCAGAAACAAGATTTAATTCTCAAGATAATAATGACATGTATGACATTGCTGGTTATTTTAAGCAAATGAAGATCATCGCAGTATATACTCAACTTAAGCAGTTGAGAAATAAGGCCTGAAAAAAATTCAGGCCTGAACGGGAATCGAACCCATGACCTCTGCGAATACCGGTGCAGCGCTCTAACCAACTGAGCTATCAAGCCAACTGGGAGCTGGTCAATTGTGAGTTCGTTATATACCCGTAGATGGAGAAGGTGTGATAAGAATACATGAAAGTCATATATTTGTACTGCGGAAAATACATTTTAAGCAAATGAAGATCATCGCAGTATATACTCAACTTAAGCAGTTGAGAAATAAGGCCTGAAAAAAATTCAGGCCTGAACGGGAATCGAACCCGAACTCACAATTGACCAGCTCCCAGTTGGCTTGATAGCTCAGTTGGTTAGAGCGCTGCACCGGTATTCGCAGAGGTCATGGGTTCGATTCCCGTTCAGGCCTGAATTTTTTTCAGGCCTTATTTCTCAACTGCTTAAGTTGAGTATATACTGCGATGATCTTCATTTGCTTAAAATGTATTTTCCGCAGTACAAATATATGACTTTCATGTATTCTTATCACACATTGCTGGTTATGTTCTCTTCCGTAATGATAACCTTAATTCCAGCAATGGATCAAGGTCTTATGGTGGTACAGCTGTGTACAGTAAAATCCCATACTTACCTGGATACCCCTATTGTCACAATATACATGGTGTTGAAATAACAGTAATTAAGTTAGCAAGTCTTTAGGATTGGATAATCATAGGGATATATCATTACCCAAACGTGCCTGTAAGACAACTTTATGAAGCAATAACTGAGGTATTAAATAACATTTCACCAGACAACAATATCATTACTGGAGACTTTAATATAAATTGGCTTGTTGAAACAGACAGAAGACCTTTGTATAATTTACTAGTGAGGGATAACCATTACAAACAGTTCATATCAACTTATACAACTGACAACAACACAGTAATTGATCATATATATACAAATATATCTAACATTGATATACAAGCAGATGTTTTAGAAACATATTTCACAGATCATAAAGCTGTTTGGGCCTCATTTCACGGTGTCCTCTAACAAATTACTTTATCATGATGTACATTGTTTTTAAGTTAAGAGAGCAACAAAAGAAAGCAGTAAATAGTTATGAAAAGAGTTGTTTCCCTTTTTTCAGAGGAATTTGTAATGAGAAACTCGCAAAACTATTAATAAGGAAATGCTGCTTATTCATTTGGTACCAGAACAGGCCTTTTAAAATTAAGTTTGAAGTCATCTTTCTAAGAGTTGTCCAGTTTAACAACCATTTACAAAAGACAAAAATAAACTACATAACACACAGTCTTGAAATTTCAAGGCAGCTCCTTTAGCATCTTGGCTAATTTCTAACTGCAACCTTTATTGACAACCCTGCATTAAACAATTATTCCACAGTTAAGTCTGCAACCCCTCCTGAAATACTCCAGGATACCAAAAAAAAAAACAACAACGAGCAAACAAACATATTAGTGAAGTGAGCAAACAACCACATGCGTGACTTTCACGTAATCTAAAATTCGTGATTGCAGCATTCCCACGTGCGTAAAGTGCTTGTAACTTATGGGAAACACACGCATGTTACACCAAAAAAACCCGTGTGTAGCAGAAGAGGCCGATTACTCGCAATTTCTCGTAGTTTTAAATTTCCCTTTTGTTTTTCAGAACACCCATATACCTGTACTTTTTTACACCGATGCGATAGAAATTAATTGGAAAAGCATTCCTTGAAATAGGAAGTCGTCCTGTATTTTCAGCGAAAAAGATCGTCAAGTGATCAAAACACCACCGGCCAGATTATAGTCACGTGCTCGGCAACGACTTCTTGAAAGCAATCATCTTTCATTCTTACCATCAAAACAGTCACGCTTGCATAGAAGAATAACAAAACGAAACGATTACAACGGAAAGACCCAAATTGGCGTAGAAAGAAATAATGCTGCAAATTACCATTTTTTTTAAGTCATGGGTACATGTTTCCGTGGGAATTTCTGTGTCAACAGCTTGCTGTCACTCACAAAGTCTTCGTGATTCTCGCTGGTCCTCGTTATGTTTAGCGCATGGACGATTCGAAGACCCTTCAAATTTGGTTTTTAAGTTGATCATAGCACTAATCTGAAACATTTGAAGTCCATTTCAATATAGTAAATGTCGAAACAGGCGTGTAAAGACAATAAATATCGCAACGATCAGTGCAATCATAATAGCGCCAGGACTTTGGACTTACTTCTTCGGAAGGATAGATCTCGAGTTCGAAGCCGACTAATTTCGAAGAGTCCACGCTAATTTGCATATCGCGGAGCGCCCACAAGAACTCGTTTCTACGCTATCGTGTATCCACGAGTTAAACAGTTGTAGCAGAATTTTTTTCAATTTTTTTTCAATGACTGTTACGAAAATATTTACTGCTCCAAGTATTTCCAGTATTGCCGTATAAACAAATAAATAGCCTAAGCCACCAAGAGGTAATTTATTTGTTGAAGACGATTACCAAACGTTCAAAAACACGCCAAAAAGCTTCCAGGGAGGGAGGGAAAGGCATATTGCTTGATAAAAGTATAAGTTAATACCCCAGATCTCTCCTGTGAATCTGTATTTGTTCAAATAATTCCCGCACAAAAATTACTATTCAGGCTGTTGATTCCAGGCCTAATATCACCCCTGTAGTACAGTTGACTCACGGTGAGCGACAGGTTTGCTTCCGCTCAAAAACCCCTTGCAAACACTTTGTCAATGAAATCCCACACAAGTACGCATTGCGGACCTATTTTTTAACAATAACTATCTTGATTTATTCAATTTTGAACCTGGGATATTGCATTTCTAGCCCTCTATGGCTTCACTCCACCTCGGTAATCAGTTCATGTACCATATGACTCGCCCGCTCGGGATTCCCTGTATTGATACCGCGCGAGAAAACTCACAAGGTTTTTAACTTATGGACAATGTCGGCATATACATAGAAAAAATTTGACGACCCTCTTGGGTTTATTGTGCTACAAAAACAGTTGGCTTTCACTCTCGACTCTCGAAATAAACAAGTCATTCTTGATTCTTATCAAAGCGAAATCTTTTGCTATACAATGAATCCTGGATATTAGCCTCGTTCTTTTTCTACTTTTTTTTTGGACCGAGACTTCATCTCCGTTCCTAAAAACGCAAAAAAAAAAAAAAAAACTCGGCCAATATCCAGCCATTTTGACCGAACGCTTGGTCAATAACGCATATGAATATATTTCAAGCAGACCCATACAAATCTGGCAAAGGAAGACAGTACAAAAAATGCACTTCCGAGCCCGGAATTTGTCAGACGTATAGGTCAGTAGATTTCTCATAATTCGGTTTATGAAGTGTTAACGTCAGCGCTGATCACACAAGTATATCGTCAAAATCTGTTTCTCTTAAGAGTCTGAGCCAATGATATAAATAGAGCTATTGGTCAGCGTTCTCATTGTTTTTGCGTCTGTCAATTTGATGCTAAAAGCACATCAGTATAAGGTTTTGTAGCCAATGCTTCTCAACCTACGTCTCTAGAAAATAAAAAGACGCTGATTAATATCAGCGAGCCCGCAATATGCCATGAATATTGGTCAGAGGATTTTTGGTGCAACAGCTGTCACTCTAACATCTCAATGTGGATGTCTGCCATAACAACAGTGCACTAGCGCAGGGGGGTCATAAAAATGCTACAGAGCTTAAGGGAGGATCAGGCGAATCTTATCATGACAGAACCAAAATCCTCCACCAACCCTCTCCCTCCCCTCCCCCCGATTATAAAATAACGGTCTGTGCTGAATAGCTTGTACAGCCCCTCTTAAACAATTTGCACTCTACACGTTCATGCGCACAGCACAACAAAAACGAGAGTTATTCAATTGTCATAGACAAGACTTGTTTTAAACATGTCAGTTAAATATTTATTCTCTTTGCACTTATTCACATATTTTAGCATAATGCCGTCCAGTTTTAAGCTGTACTTTTACACAATATTTTAAAAGTACTACAGAAGTCGGCCAAGTAAATGAGCATATAGCCAGGTCTTAGGTTCTTGAACAAAGTAAGTAGTGGAGTGGTTATTGTTATTGTTAGTACAGACAGAATCTCACATACTAATGTCGACGCAAGACCACCCGCTTGCTTACCCGCTTGCAAGCGCTCTTTAACGTTTACCTAGTACATCTTATGCAGTTATTTGTGGTCTATCGAAAGAACACTACAATTTGACCTAAACCCTGATAACGAAGACCAACGTGCCACTGGAAGATGTTATCTACACTTTCTCGAGTCTCCTAGTCACTTTCTTAAATTCCCATCTTCTCGCTATTATTTGTGCAGTACTTCTCGAGGGTAGTCGGTCTTTCATAACTAAAATGCTTCTTTCTCGTCGCTAGATTTTTCATGAATTGATAACTACGCGCTAAAGATGACATCAGCTCATGCCGCACAGTTTGGGCAATTCGTGGAGCATGATACACTATTTCAATTAGGTAAGTAAAATTAATTTCCATCGAAACAACAGTCTGACAACATTTTTCTTAATAGGTTATAATGATGTAGTAAAACAACTGCGATTTCTTCGTGACTCCAAGTGAGGGAAACCTACAGAGCACTAAAAGTGAATCTGTGGTAAGTGTTTCTCATTCAGTTAAAGCAATATCGCTCATTTGTGTTGTTTATCCGGTTCATATGTGTTTCCTGATGTTTGATAAAAAGCGTAAAAAGTCTGTATATCTTACAGCGTTCCTCCATGATTATGATACAACCCTTTCATTCTCAGTCTTACTGGCGCCGAACCACCTGTAGGGAAAGGGAGCCGTCTGTCCCCGCTCTTCTCGTACAGGACCTGCTTTACAACGTCAAGGGGATAGTCCGTCTAGTCATCATAGTCATATTTGATATTGAGTGATAAACATACAAATTCGCGATGTACAGCTTTACTGAATGGCTGCCTTTTATCTTGGATCTCGCCTCCTGGAGTGCAACCCTTCAACAGACAGACGACCTGCAGAAATTTCGAACAAAAATGAAACAATAGATCCTTGAGGCTTAATATTGATTAACAGATCACCAGAGAGAATGAAAGTGATGAAAAAAAAGGTAACCCAGCAAAAAGAATATCAGAGTAATTAAGAATATCTCAGAAAAAAATGAGATCATTGGAAAACGTAGCAGGATGTTTTTCTTGGTTCGATTTTAAAGAAAGATCGTTGTTTTTATAACAGCGGCATCCATCGTAAAGGTTTTGTTTTTACTCCCCCAACAAGTTTTGTCCAAGCTACCAGCTACGCACGTTTCCCTCCAGAGGAAAACAGGCAAAGGGAATTTAAGTGAAACGCCCCTCCCAGTCGTGTTTTAAAAACCTTTGATTGTCCCGTGCGCTGAAACTCGATGTAAATGTACGCTCCACTCTATACTTAATGTTTCAGGAGTTCGTCAAATAATTATATATTCACAAGATGGGAGAGTTACGGACATAATATTTCGCACCATTCTATTTGCTATGAAGTGACTAGAATTGGCATAAAAGATGCCCTGTGCATTAATGTGCAACTTACTTGCTCTCGCCTTGCAGATGTATTTGAAGCGTGTGGTGCACGGGTAGTCATTCCATTTTCCGTCGGACTTCAAGACAGCGCAGTCCTCGTCTTTTTTTCTGGACCGACCCCCATTGTTTGGATCACCCGTCGCCCAGTTTTTATAACTTTGATGAGTTCTAAGAGAAAGACATAGTGCCTGAACTTGAATTGCCGGGTGAATAATCAAACTTCATTTTACCCTTGAGCAATGACTTAAAGGGCGATATCGCCTTTTATCATATAACGGGCCACGGTAACGCTTTCGTGAGTCGCCGAGTACATCCCAACTTTCGTTGATAAGCAAACACGTCGGTCACTACCTCAAGCCGATAAATAACTTATGAATCCTCTCTTTTCTCTCTATCAAATCACTTTGGTTGACAGAAAAATATTGGTTTCAGAATGAATTTGTATAAACAATAGTGTCATTACGTTGGTTGACAAGCGGCCTAAAACCGTCTGCAATTAATTTTAATCGTTCACAAAAAGTACCCAGAAAGTTGAAACGTTGATGGAACTTTCATTCATTTAATATCTGAAGTTTCTCGAGCAATTTGTTCATAGTGAAAGAGCGAGCGAAGTTTTAATTTAAGTTCTACAACAAATATACGCTCCTGGTGAGTCTTTCCAATTCCGTTCAATTTGAACATTTGTACCTTAAATTGCACAACAGAAATTGAAGGAATTTTTTGAGAAAAAGCCGCATTACATTCCCTTGTGTCTCGTTGGAGTGTGCCGTTCGAATTTAGTTTTTGTGAAGGAAAGATCAGAGTTAAACACGCCATTACAGCAAACAAACGAGCAAACTCTCACAACTTCAAATTAAAAAAACTGACAATTACTTTCTTCGCCGTTTACTTAATGAACAGAGGTAAATCTTCACATGAATGAATGGTCGATGTGAGTGAATAATACTTTCCGTTAGATCATTGACTGATTTTGAAGAAAATATTTATATATATATATATATATATATATATATATATATATATATATATATATATACATATATATAATATATACATACATACATATATATATATATATATATATGTATATATATATATATATATATATTATGTACATATATATTTATCCAACCATAAACTATATTGACCAATTTCCATTAAGCAGTAAACAACAAGGACAGTACACATGGTCAAACTCCTAACAGCTTTTTCTACCCAGTCCCCCTTTTTTTGTCTTGTGCCTCCACGCAGAGTTGTAATTAATAATATAATAATAATAATAATATACAGTATTTATAGAGTGCTAATTCCCAATGGTCCAAAAGCGCTTTACATAATAAAAATAACAAAATCCTAAACCTACAAAACTACATTGTCATTCTATAAAAATTCCCAATGGTCCAAAAGCGCTTTACATAATAAAAATAAGAACAAAATCCTGAACCTACAAAACTACAAAACTACATAGTCATCCTATAAAAACATCATCATTCTATACAACATCATAACCAATTTTAAAAAGCCACGTCTTGAGCTTAGATTTAAAAGAAGAAAGGGAATTACAAGATCTAAGTTCGAATGGAAGTGCATTCCAAACGGAAGGTGCGGCAATAGTAAAAGACCGGCCACCATAAGTTTTAAGATTAAATCTAGATGTAGAAAGTAAAAATTGATTGGAGGATCTGAGAAGTCTACCAGGTGTATAAGGCTAATTACCTGTCGCTCCACGCCCATTGTCCTTCCCTTTGTATATCATTGTAGCCAATCCACATGAATGACTCAGCCAGCAGATGTTTTGTGACAAATTCTTGTTCTTTGGCGTTACTGATGCTCAGCAGGTCAGAGCGAGATCTTATGCAATCATTTCTTGCCATGTACCACGTGTGCGTGTTGTGTCTGACCAGGTAACAGTACACCATGTCTGTTCCGTTCATTAGGTGGGAAACCCACCCACGGGGACATAGCGCTAGAGAAAAATCAATCAAAATAGGTTGTAAAGCCGCGTGAGATGAAAAAAGAGAGAAAATTTTGAATTCAGTCTTGGAATAGACCAAGTTGAATATTTGTTGCAGGTGGGGGACGAAGAAAAATATGTTACCCGTCGGAACGGCTCGAACCTCAGATTCCTCGGTCATGCAATCGGATGCTTTGCCCACTGAACTTCAGAGAAATTTGCTTCTTATTGGTTTTGTACCATTCAGTTGGTGAAAAATACAATTGCGTGGATGGAAAATTTTAAGATTCAAACCGTCACAAGGGACTCGGATCTATTATCAACATCCTTTATCATGAAAAAACTCACTTATTTGATGTCGCCTGCAGATTATACAACATAGGTACTTACGTTTAGTGGTTGGCTCCTGTGTAACGACGGGTTTTCGGAGACTCCTCCATGTAAGAACAAATCCTTTCCTCTCGCGGGAACCGTCGGAATGCAGACGTATGCGAGCGTGGTTGGACATTGTTTGGAACTTTTCATCAACTGAAATGAAAGGAAAAAACTGTCAAACTACGAAAATCCAAATGGCCAGTGCAGTGCTCTTTTTCTCAGTATTTCGTCATCATTCTTGGAATCTGTTAAGGTCAACCTAGTGGTGTGGATGGTACCGTCGGAGACGACAAAGCACTTTAAAAATCAAACTTATTTAAAAAGACAAAATTGAAACTGAGACTTCCCAGAGAAACTTGATATTTTATGTCTTCAAAATACGGGACGTAACAAGAAAGGAGACTTTGAACGAGCAGTCAAGTTTAAGTGAAAAACCACTCAGCTTATCAGTTTTATTTGGTCTGATGTATCGAGGAGCAAGAAGAAATTACCTGATTGTCCACAATGTCTTCCTAATGATGGTGAATTCCTTGAGTTACCATCACGTACTTCGACATAATCGTATCGGCAACCTCTACCGACTTTATGTATGTCAAATATTTTGAATTTCAGCTCAATGTAGTGGCCACGTGGCGCCGTAATTACCCAGATACAGTCCGCATTAGGAGGATAGCTGCCTGGATACCCGGGACTGGTCAGTGTCCCAGTAGACTCCGTTAGCTGCCGGCCACACTCTGTAAACATCAGGTGAATGAGCTTCGTAAGAACAAGCTAACTCTAGGTATATAGACCATGATTGGGCCTGTTGTATCTGAAAATGTTGTTGATTGTTCTCAAATGCCCAGAGCCAGACAACAGTGTCAATAAAGTAATTGGTTTTCACCGATCACTCTAATCATTTTTGATAATGGTGATGATGTTTTTGATTATTTTGATGTTAAATAATGCTCATGATAATAAGTAATTATATAGTACTAATAGCCTCACCATTTGCAGTTTCCTTAACTTCCACCTTCTTCGCTTCCCATTTGGCATTAAACCCATAGTAACCACGCTGTACATTTGAGTGGAATTTAACCAGCAGGACGTTGGAACTTGAACGAAGAACAGCCGGGAGTTTGGAGCCACAGAACTTGCCGATGCGACGGGACGAGACAGTTTGGCCATCGTACACTGAGACGGAATCATCGCATAATGGATAAGAGCCTGTTGATCGATAGGATAACAAAAGGTAAGTTTTAAGTTGCATTCAAACTATATCGAGGAACGAACGCTTTCCTCGCTTCTCTAGAACTGTTACTCATTTGAGCAATCGCTGACAGGGTTGTACGCAAAGTTAACGGTTAAAGAAATTCACTTTTGAAAAATTATGTTATACCAACGTTTCTCAAATCCACTCCAGATATAAAAAAAAGCGGTAGGATTTAAGGACAAAGTTGTCGAAGGGTCGTGCCTCCAAATTTTGACCGAAGCGAAGGGTAAATGCCTCAGAGGCGCGTTTATTCAAGCGATACCTTAATTTAAAGGAAAACCCTTGTTTGAAGATATCATGTATCGTTTATAACGATCTGTACATACCAGGTTCACAGTTTAATGTTTCTTGATAAACGTTTTTGAAAAATATTGTGAAATATCAACTTAAAAAATGGCCACAGTATCCTCAAAATGTCGGAATGGTTTAACCCATGAAAAGGAAACATGAAGTCAGACTCACCATAAACATTAAAGAAGAGAAACTTAAATTCAATTCTTTGTCCATCTGGCACACGAATAACCCACTCGCAGTTCATTTTTCCTGGATAAGGCTTAGGATAGTTGGGTGAATTAAATCTTCCGCTGACCGCTTGCAATTCGTGACCACAAGCTGTAAGTGAAAACAACAGTCCTCACTTTAAACATGTCACATATATGTTAAAAAAAAGCAAAGGTACAGCAAAGAGACATGATTTATGTAACATTTGAAAGCATCAATTTTTTTTAAACGCATTCATAGACGTAATTTTCTTTGCAACCCAATCCGTCGGTTAGCTTTACAGGATACGCATTCAGACTCAACGAAAGAGAGAACGAGACGCTAGAGTTTGGGGTAGATTTGTTTTGGAATCACCGGCGTAGTGGATTTGGTGTAATATGACAGTGTCTATCAGGAGTATTGGTATTAGGCTTTCAAGGTCATATCGACTTCTCAGATACATACCAGACGGGCATTTCTGCTCATTGCATAACCTCTCATCCAACGGTTTTCCCTGGCAAGTGCGTCCATTTCTACTGGGTTTTGGATTGTCGCACTGCCGTACTCTGTGCTGTTTACCACTACCGCAGCTTTTACTGCAAGTGTTCCATGAAGTCCATAACGACCAACCACCATTAATGATCACCACCGGAGTTACTGAAATCATATCAATGGAATATCCGCACAATGTGACTTTTTTCTTTTGTGCGCCACAAATGTTCCAAATTTAGACAAGATGGAAATGCAGTTTAATGAATGTTGTCCTTTTTTTTGGTTCTTTCAGGAGGACAGCGCGTGTATGAACCTCTGCTAAACTTCAGAATGAGCCAATTTCTTCCCACAGTGTTTAATAGGTATCAATAACACCATTGTAGTTTATGCAATTATATGGCATGATAAGTTTACATGAGGGACACATATTCTCTGTACTTGCTTAACTTACCTGGAGACTTGAAGCGATCCTCAGCACATAAATAAGTTTTGTCCCAACCATCTCTTCCGTTCTTCGCATACCATCTTAAACAAGGTAAGCCTGCAATGCGGTTCGAATACGACCACACAAATCTAGACGACCAAAGATTCATGTTAGTCTATGGGACGTTTAAAATTAGAAGGACTTTGGATATTACTGATACTACTGATATTACTGATACTACTGACATTACTGATACTCGACATGTCAAAAGAAACATTTGTGTCACAATTCCGTATTCTTGAAATTAGCTTTCTGTTTCTTGGGATCAGTAGAAATATAACACCACATAAACTGCGTCAATTCCACGGAATGTTTTTCGCTTTTGTTAAAACCAGAATCCGAGGAGGTCATCCTCTCTAGCTCTGTTGTTAGCACCAGAAGCAAACGTGTTGGTTGTTTTTTGAGGGTATGATACTGTTTTTATGAAAGCAATATATGAAAAGAAAATCATTTTGTATTTTTTTTCATCAACCTGTAAATCTTATTGAGGGTGGAGGCAGTGAACAATCAAGCATAGCTACTCCTTCAACAATTCTTAGCCACGTTGAATTCAATTTCTTTGTAAAGAAAACGCTTGTCAACCAACCACTCTTCTACAATTTGTTACTTTTATTTTACTGCCTGGTATTTGAAACTAACCGTGAAATTGTTGCCTTAAACCACTTCGACCCTCGCTAGCTCACCTGTAGGGAAACCCGCCGTCTGTTGAGATACACAGGTAGTTATTGTCCCAACGACCTCTTTTAGTACCTTGTGAATCCTCAGGAACAAGGATTCGTGTACACTCCCTGTTATTAACTTCTCCTTGGTCTGACCAGCGCATTTCTGGTTGCCTCTTGTCCGCCGCCGAACACAGTAGGTAATCCTTAAAGGTGAAATAGTCCAATCGCTCAAATATTCTTACGCATGTTTCATTTGGGCCTGCTCTTGGTTTTCGACCAAAGCTGAAGTCTTCCGGGAATTTTGGCCATTCTGTAAAGAACGATGATCGGATGACCAATGGTTTAGAATAACGAAGAATACCTATGACATGCTGCATAGACCTCTTTTACAATTGCTGGGCTAATTTGTTCTCTCTTAAATGCATGTAGCTCTTCAAATACCTTGAACGTACACGAGAAGAAAGAATTATCACAGAAGCAGGCCAATGTGCAATGACGTTAAAGAACAATAACCATGCCGGCGTTAAACCAAACGAAGTCTTTGTCTTACTCTGTCCTTGAACAGGAAAATAATATCACATGTACTTTTGTGGAATTGGACTACACCAAAAGTCAGCCAAACTCGTGAGTTAGGGGGTTTATAAGGTAGGAGGGCTGGTACAGACAGTTGAAAACTTTCTATGTTACAATACACACTCCCAAAGTATATGGGAACTTTTAATGCTTCAAACATACCTGCACACTCCTGTGTGTTACACATCCTTGTATCGGAGGCCTTACCCACGCAGTACTGACCCCCGGAGGACGGTTGAGGATTGGTGCAAGAGCGAAGGCGACTCTGAACTCCTCCTCCACACTTACGTGTGCATGTTGTCCAGGGCGTCCACCGGGTCCAGTTGCCGTCTGGGAACAATTTTAAAATAAAATTAAGGAACATTTAAGATGGAACAACTATAAGAATAATTATTTTCTTGTTGTTATTGCAATTTTTGTACAGAGTGCTGGCAGAGATGGTGTAGTATAAATGCACCCTCATGGAGGAGATTTTATTACCGAGTTCAATTTCAGGACGTAGTGTCATATATGGGTTAGGTTTGCTGTTGGTTTTTTTGTGCCGTTTCCCAAGTTCTACTGTTTTCCAAGCCTCTCTCTACAAGTACCAACTTTCCAAATGGATAATGATGTAGATGGACGGTGAAACCACTTCGAGGATGTGCCTCGGTTTAACTCCCTGATTATATTTGTATTTTTGTATTATTTCACAATTAACTTAAAACTGACGCGAGCGTTTTCACTCTCTCTCATTTCTCACTGGTAAGAAACTAAAATTTACTTTCATACACGAAAGGTAAGGCGAGATAACCTTTCTGCCGAATAAGTTTTCAATCACAGCATTTACTTAGATTGTACTTGCCGGGAAAAAAAGCAAACACACGCACACACACACGTGCACATTGAAATAGCTAAAGCCTTAATCTGTTGCAGACCAAAACGCTTCCTCTGACGATTGAGGAACGGAAAAGGGAAACAAAAAAAACACGAATAAAAGGTAACACTAATTAAAAAAAAAAACCTACCGATGGGTTTTCGATCTTTTGTAGCACACAGGAAATATCTGTTGCGTCCCCAAGTCGGATCACGTGGTTCACTCCATTCCAAACAATTGGCTCTTTCCTCAGCAGTTGGCGCATGCGTTAACCACTTGAATTTGTAAATTCCGTCATGTGGCCAACAGAGATAAGATCTGTCCCAGATCTCATAGTAGGATTTCGTTGGTGTGCGAATTTGGAGGCACTTTTTGCCAGGTACGGGTCCTCTGGTTGAAAAACTAACACCAGACACAATTGAAAAATAAAATAACGTGAGACGAGGCAGTCATCCTGTTTGGTAAGTCTGATTGGTTTAGTTTGGCTTCCGAGACTTAAGATACACAATGCACGTGTTGAGGATTTCTTCATAGTGAAAAAGGAGCATTTTAGAGTTGGTTTTTTATGTCAGATAGATTGGTATGGTTGCCGATGTAAACGAACCTTTATAGGGACAACACGAAGAAGTGAGAGACAAGAGCTTTTACAATGTACCCAAAAAAAGAACTGGAAACAAAATATTTTTTATCTACAATTATGACTCCAGTTAAACTAAGAAGGTTAAACGTTGGGAACGAATAAGAACAAGCTTCAAAAATTTGTTCAAACTCGTGCAAAGGTCTCTTCCAGATAAATATACGGTGATCGATGAAATTTAATAAAAAAAGCCCGTACTAGTTCAATGGCCTTAAAATTAGGATCAGTGCTCTGCAATGAAATTACAACTAAGTTATTGTTCAATTCCTCTAATTTCAATGGTCTCTAAGTACGGTTTCCGTAACAGTTGTATAGGTTTGCACTTATTCCCATTGCGCATCCTTGATGCACATTCGATTCAACGCTAAGGCATGCCTTGTCATATATTGAGCTCGCGCAAAGAATCAAAAACTCAACAAATTAGAATGCAGATGGTTAAAGGGGGTAAGTTTCTAAAGAAACTATGGTGTTGCGTTGGTTGGAGAGTATAAAAGGGTAATTTAGAGTTAATAACGTAAATTGGCCACGTTAAAGGGTTTAAATGTTAACGTTTTGAGCGTTGGCCCTTCTTAAGAGCGATTGGTGAAGCTCTGACGGAGGGCTAACACTTACGGTGGCCAATTTACATTATCATCTCAGTTGATAGTACTAAATTACCCTTTAATGCAGATGGTTGCTGCATTTTACGCGGTGTAACCATATTGCCTTTGTATGTAGGGTGATCCCCACATTTTAAGGAAGATCACATCCTTTTCTTCTTCAAAGGACTAATTAAGGCGGTTTAACTTCAAAGCGGTGGCTGCTGTTACCTGAGCGAGAGAGATTTCTTGTCCTTTCTGTAGCACATATAGTTGTCTCTCCAACTAGCTGATCTATGGTGAGTTATTCGAATACATCTCGCATAAATACTGTAAGTCGCGTTCTTCCTCATCTGCCCATTGCTACTCCAAACAAAATCTTGCGGGAACTTTGGATAATCTAAGAATGAAAAGTTGAATGACACGAAAGACTGACTTTTAAGAGCTGTGGAAATCGATCCTGAGTCAATTCACAGACAGTTCTTAATTTTATCATCTGAGTATAGGAGACCATGAGAGGATATTGCATTTTAAGCTATTTTCAGAGTGCATTCCGTAAAAAATAGTGATGGTACGAACCTGGACACCTGTACAGGAGGTTTACTTGCTGGATGTCCAGTATACTCAAGTTAGTATTGCCAAACGTTTTAATGGACCGTTGTCGTGCCACAATGGTCGGTAAACCGTTTTTAGAGAAGGCTTTCGCGCCGTAGTGCATGACAGACTTATAATCGTACTCCACACCAAGACTGTCAATCCTCCGTGAACTGTATTTGTGAAACGCGTACTTGAACTCTGCAAAATGAGAGAAGCAGATAAATTCGTCTGGGAACAAACGTTGTATATTAAAACAGAACATCATACATTTGGGTACCAATATTGTCGGAATCATGGACCAGTCGATTGGGAGATTTCCCAGACCTCAGGTCTGAGACACAAGGATTTGTGTGTCAAATATCACCCTTGTCCAATCGTAACTTACAAACAACTGATTGAGAGATTGATAGACTAATCGATTGCTTGATTGAAGAGTTCAAGACGCTGATGAGAGGTAATGCACGCGAAAATGTACGGTGCGATAAGGTTGACCAAATCAGGTAAGGAATAACATCAGTCCAACTCAACATCCATCAATAAATCCCTCTGTTAAACAATTGAACAATAATCCCATCGATTAATGAAACATAACTAGGTAGCTCGTCGTGAGGATCTTATAGTGCAGAACTTCCTTAAGTGAATTAATGTGTTTTCTATTTACAATTTAAAACTCACTGGGTATTATGTTTTCCTCCTTGATTTCAATATAGTTATCTCTATCGGGGCGGTTCTGTTCGTGCCAAAAACCAACCAAATGCCCCAGTTCATGGACCACAATACCATGGTGCGCGCATCCTCGTCCAAGGGAAGTGGTTTGTCTACCACCAATTCGGCCAACATCAGAGTTACAACTTCAATGGAAGAGTAAAAAAGGGTTCAAACCAATAAAGCAATGTGCTATCAAAGCATTGGACGACGTCAGTTAACTTATTCCTTTTTGCAGCTAAGATATTATACAGTCTAACCTCTGCCTAACGGCTACCATGGGAGGGAGGGAGGGGGGGGGAGGGACGGAGAAAAGTGCACATATTGAAATAGAGGAAAAAAGCTCCATAATCAAAAAATATTATCGTACGGATACTTACCCTTCACCGTAATAAAATTCCACGTAATCCACCTGATTCTCCCTTTCTACGAATTTGATACAGGTATGTTTTTCGTATTCTGCCATGGCATCTTTTAGAAGTTGACGAATTTTGCTGTTTCCAGCTGAAATAAAAAAGGGGAATTACGGATGATTACCGACTCATCAGCTTCTTCCATATGAAAGATATTATAAGAAACTTGGAAAACTTACGAATGCTGTATGCTATTGTATACGGTATGATTCCCTTTGGCCATAGGTTTGACCTGTCTCTTATGGGAGCCGAGCCATCAACTCCCTTTCTTCCTACATTTCTCCTTGGCAGTTTCATATCCACCTGCCACTCGCTGCCTTCTTGATATTTAGCTGCAAAACATCAATGATGATAAATGTGATTTATTGATACAATCGAACCTGTATCAAGCAGAGAATAACGGGGTGATTCCTTAATACAGGTTCCACAGACTAGGCGTATTTTAGAAAACGATAAACAACACCACTTTATGCCACAATTGACCACTCAAGGAGTCACCATAGGGTTTTCTGACCGAGCGAAATCTGGGTGCGAACATAGCGCGAGCTTTAAAAGTGTAAAAATGCAAAACAAAGATGGCGGTGTGTTTAAAAACAGTTTAACATAATACAGTTTTTATGTGGTGGAATCTAAGGTTTCTAGCAACCGCACCCGTAATATTCATAGGCCTTCTACGCCTGAAAAAGAGGTCAATCGAAGAGAAAACACCGTGGGAAAGATTGCCAAAAGGCGACAGATTCGAAAGTTTACGCATGCTCCGATAGAGATCTTGGCGAAGTTCTATACCATTACGTAATGTTTTGTGACAAAGAAAATTGGGATCTTTCGAGCAAGATATATGGCGTTTCCTTCGGTGGAATTTCCTAAGATTTTCTGGACCATCAAACATATTTGTGCCCTTCCTAGTGCCTTTTGATAGAAAATATTCATAAGACCCAAATTTGAGAATGAGCGAGAAAACATAAGAATTACAAATAGCGAGGAAATTGCCTCTGTAACCCCTATGCTTTCGGCTTTTAAATGGTTGGCAAGACAAATTCCACAAATTGTGAAAATTTTGAGAGATTTCACTGGAGCAAATTGAAGAAACTTAAAGGGAAAGCCAAATTATCGCTGGCGAACGCCTCCCTTCGTGGAGAATTAGCTTAATAACGAAAATCATATTGATAATATTTACGACAGCAAATGATAGCCCGAACCTCGCTCATCGCCCTTTTAATGGCTTTTAGTGACCTAAAAAAGCGAAAATATAAAAATTTTCTAGGTAACCAATTAAAACCCTATAAAGCCTCCTTAATGAGCAGAATCTCGCTCAAAAATGTTACTTTGATTTTGGAAAGAATCTTGGATAAAAAAATTACTTGAAAGATTATTCCTAGTTTTATTTGCGTGGTCCTACTTTGACCGTTTAATAGAGGTAAAAGAGAATAAAAACAGGTCGCTGGGACTCAGTAAAGGGTGACCGTGACCGCTTAAAACAGGGTGACCGATTAATACGGTGCTGCTAAATACAGGTTTGACTGTGATGAGTAATTTGTTGCTCCTCTCATTTCAAGTGCAGGGGATGAGGAATATTTCCCAATCTATAAGCGGAGGACACAGATCCAATCGAAATTGCTTTTCGCGGTCAATTAAAGACAATATTTCTCCTGCTGTTGGTCAAGAAGTGATTTGGTTCCTCTTAACTGTTGTTAATTTAAATCTGCCAGAATTCTCACACAGCTGTTTTAGTCTGATCGACTACACTGCTCGTGAGTAGCCCTATAGTGTGCAGTTGTAAGACAAAATGAATAACTAATTCTGTTTCACAAACATACAGGCATGACGCTATCGACATTGCTGATTCTAACAGTATGCAGGACGGGTGTCATATGAACTTCGTAATATAATACGTTCACCGTAGAGTCTCTGTAGCTCGTTGGTAGAGCATCGGAGCGCGGAATCGATTCCTCATGGGGACTCAGAACTTTTTCTTTGTCCCACGCTCGTGACAAGACGAAACATATCTTTCACTATTTCATTATTCTGTTTTGTTGCTTAGTTTTGAACGACACGTAGATCAGCCCTAAACGACAGATTATGCGCTTTCGATTTTTACGCGTGGTGACTGATTTGGGCTTTGCCACGGGATAGAAATCTCTAGCTCATTATCCAATTGAGTTTAACACGGAACGAAGATAAGGCAATTAACTCTGAGAACAGAGAGACCGACCATGCTTGTTGGTCTCATAGAAGAGCTCTAAACGGAACTATATATATATTGACAAGCGCAGAAAAACATAGACACGATGATGGCGTCAGAAAAGTACTCACGATCTCTTGCAGAAATTACTTACGGGTTTGTTGGGAAAACCTGCAAACGTGAGACGTACGCGGCAAAACGCAACAAAACCCCAGAGGGTTTTGATTCTTCAGCTTTAAGTTCTGCTTGTGGCTGAACCGAAAGGACAGAAAAGCTAATAAAGTGAGTTAGTAAAATCATTTTTTATTTTGCCGACTAACCATTCGAGGAAATGAAATGTCCAAGCAAAAGGGTACCCAGGGAATGTTTGCAGTTAAGACGGTGAAGCATCAATAAACGTCGATTGACAAAATGAACTAACATTTCCTGCAAACGTCGCGGGTGGCTCATGATGTTAATCGTTTCGAACGCCGCCAGAACTCTCCTTTGGTACAACAAGTGAGGATAGTGGCGTTGGATTCCAAATAGAAAAGTAGACAAAATGCCTTCGAGAGTCTCCGGACAATTTTTCTGCTCAATGAATATTTTGTTTTGTCATACCCTTGTCGCTGTCGCGTTTTATTATATTTATTAATCGGATTTGGAGGACATAACAGAACAGAGAAAGAAAGGCAGCGAACGGAAAAACAGACACTGAGTGTTAAAACAATGTGGACAACAGCCAAAAGGGTCATCACTTTCGGTAATTAATTTAAACCATAGTATTCGATTGGATTATTGTGTTGATAAGACGCGTTGAAACATATATCACTGATCACTCAAACGTCACTTTACAACAAACAAATTGAGAGCAGGTTTCTTTTTGTTCATGAAGAGCTGTTTTCTTATGATAACTACTTTACTCTTGTGATAACTAACTTTTCTTATGATAACTAGTCAATTTTTACTTATGTATTAAAAGTTATTTGATTATCTTTAAACTGGAACAGCTACCAAACTTTCCTGTTATCGCAAATCTACAACAACAACAAACAAAATCTCTTTTCTCTTATCAGCTTATCAGGTCATGGGTTAGGTTCTAGGCATTTCTGGACCAGATTCAAAACTCCTGCCACTAAAATTTGTTTTAGCTATCAAAATGTGACCTTGAAAGCAGTATGGAATTCCTTAATGTTTCTACATCTCAACAGTCTCAAGTCAGTCGTGTTTTGGCGTTTTTGTTCGAATTTCCAGATTGTTCTTCCCCACAAATCCCCTCACGTCCAATTCCAACCTTAAGACATCGCACAAGGAGCTGTTTTGTGGACGTGCTACTTAAAAATCCAATTTGTCCGATCATTAGAATTATCTTTGCAACACACCAGTGTCAAATGTTCCTGCGAAGTGTTACAATTTTATGTCCAATTGACTGCCGCTGACAGACGACTGAACTCCGGGTCAAGAGGTTGACGTGATCTTGAAAAATAAACGTGTCTTTAAAGTACACAGAAAGCCACAGGCGTGATCGACTTAATGGAAATCCTAAGAAATGAATCCACAAATCTTTTCAAGAAAACACCTTTTCCACGCACCCCCGCTCTTGCACGTGTGAGGTGCACGTGCTTGCTGAGCGTTCTGACGTTTGCATGAGTTAAACAGACCAAGTTAATTGCTACCGCTTTTTCTTCTTTTAATACCACAGTGAAATCATTCAAAAGCGGGTCTTTTTCAAGTGGACACTCTATCTTAGACAATGATGGCTATCCGCCTGATGTATTTAAAAAAAGATTTAACTAAATCCCTAGCCATAATGACACCTTTGATTTATTAATACACCTGAATAATGCTATTCGTAGAAAAGACTGGGCTCAAAGTCTAAGAAGAAACAAGACGGCAGAGAAACGAAAACGACCTCGTTAGATTGCCTAAGTCAGCTTTAGTAGTATTGCTCATATCATTGGTTTAAAATTTGAGCTTAAACCTTTTGAAGTAACTGCAGCAAAAAAAATACTTAATTTACAAAGTTCTCGAGTTAGTTTGTTTTTGATGTTGAATGTGAAAATCCACCATGCCTCAGAAAAAACTGAAATAAACAGTTAAAATAAGTAAAATACTTGAGGTAAGAGAGAATCATCCCGACTGGGTTAAATGCTAACTAGAAATGTACATGTACATAGAGTCCATTTTTGTGACGGAAACAATGTTCGTTGCATTGGAGTTTTTGAGAGCTTCCGTGAAGTCGTGCCGGTTATCATTAAAACCACTTTCGGAACCGATTTAAAGGAAGTGTAGTTCCGGCTTGGAACTCTTTACGTTTTCCTGTTATGACCAGTCAGCGCCAACGAACAATAAACAATGTGAAAATTCATTTGCAGAATCTACCGCCACAGACAATGCCTTTTATGAGAAAAAAGTCTTCAAAAGAAACTTTGAAATGCGATCGGTAAATGCATTTACGCTCACTCTCTTCGAGTGAATGGAATGCCAATTGGAATTGAGTTTTCGATTAAAAAAAAAAAGGAATATAGAGAGGGAGAGAGAAAGAGAGGGAAGATAAGAAAACACACTTGTAGCACCAGAATAAATATTTAAACAGTTAATGCCCAATGTGCACATGTGCGTGTCACGATGTTTTATCCGCTTACCAAGATTACCTCACGAACCGGAAACAGTCATGACGTGCCTGTCTACACCACATGTGTGAGTCTCAATTAAATTCGCTATGTGTTATCTTAGAATCTATGCGGCTGATATCTTAAGAAAACTCAGCTACAAAGTATGCTACTTCCATCATCTAACAATCTGAGGCAGAATCACAGCTGGAGTGCTTGGTTTTCTCGCTTTTATTTTTCCAACGGATACCTTTTATATAAAAATTACTACACCAGGCACGATTCAATAAATTTTGATGTCTGTAGTGAGAAATACAATCGAAAGTATGATGTAATCCGTTCGCGACGAGGCGTCGAAATCGTAAAAGAGCTTTTCAATCAAGTGATTATGAATTGGAGACGGTTTCATTGTGACAAAGTTGCAAGTCACGGGGTAGGCCGGCTTCTGTCATTAAGTAGTTGTGTATGTAGTATCACTGGTAAATACGTCAGTTAAACACCCGATATTTGTCGAAAATGAATATAACTTAAAAAATAGGAAAACTTGGCAAATCATTTTCTAAGACAACCAGTCAATTTGAAGGCCTGCGGACCAACCGGGGAGTGAAGACAAAAAGGACTGGATTCGAATGAGTGTCAAAGTCGGGCCTAATGACCTTCTCTTTATCTCTGGTTTAATCAAAGCCACGAGGATTTTCTACCAAAGCTTTTGCTTCCCAGCTTATATTTGATCTCTTAGCCACCTCGTGTTTTGTGCGACAAGCACAATGTTAGACAAATTTGTTTCATAGCTGAGACGTGGCTGTCACGGAGCTTGAAATGTACGAGAGAGAACTCCCTCCCAGACAATTATTTTTTCGCTGTGGAATGCTTTTCGGTGAAATACCGACACAAAATGACACAATTTTTTTCCTGAACGATGGATCAAATGAACCGACCAGGTTCTAAACATGTGCCCTGATCAAGTTCCTAATTCGTTTTTGGAGATTTTGAGTCTGCTCACAGTATGTTGTCTGTAATCACTTACGAAGTTTAGCATATTTGGTGTAATATAACCTAGTACAAACAGACTCAAGAATTCTGCCGTGTTGAAGGTTTCAATCTCCTCAGAAACCGAACACAGATATTTACTAAGTGTTCACTAAAACATTATCAGACCCGTCAAAACCTGATTATTCGTATTGAAGGCGAAATTCCCGGCTTAAGAACACAAATAATCTACGCGGGACCACTGTTTGCGGTTCTCTCTTGTGAAAAGCATTGCGAAAGCTGAGATGTGTACTGCCCTTGCTGTTGTTTTGCTGCAATTAGTGTCATGAATCTTACGCATTGAAATCTGAGAAATAAACAGACTACTTTTATCCGCATCAATGCCTTCTTTGCCGAGTTTTATCTCTAGAAATTTATAAAGACATGGCCACTGAAATGGTTACGGCTTCCTCTTAAAAAATACCCTCGTCGGACAAACCATTTGAGTTATCTATTTAGAGGAACAATTTTCTTAATTGAGCGAAAGTAAAATAAATCTTACTAAGGAATAAAGCAATTTGATTAAAGGTTTAAACTATGACACCAATATTAATCTCCATGATACGTTTGTGAATACATGGATGGTGGGTTTGCTTTCTTAGCGATGAAACTGTTGAAATGCTAGCGAAATGTTGGTTTTATTGTGTAACTATTAAAATCGATTACGAAAAGATTATGTCAGAGCTGAGTGCACTGTGTTTCTTCTTGGAAGGGAAGAAGCAATTGCACTCAGGGACCTCACTGAAACCGATAAGGGCTCAAAGATCACTTAGCTTGCGCAAACCGAATGATTCAAACAACCAACCGATGGGAAACAAATAAACTGTTGTTGGCCTTAACACCAGTCTACATACAATTGATCATTCACATACTTTCAAGATCTTTCTCGTAATAAAACAAACATCTGCTATAACGAGAAAATGAGAGTGGAAAATCCTTACCATAATTCTGATTGACTCTGGCTATTTCATCAAAAGCTGCTGTATGTTGTTTCGCCACAGGCGACATAAGCGATCTGCTGATCCAACTCGTCATTAGGATAAAGTAGAGCAAACCGTTAGGTACCAGCGCCATTGCTTTCACGCGTCGGATGCGGTATTTGGAAGATTCGTGCTCCAAATTCGCGGCTTTATGTAGAGCGCTGAGTGTACGTCACACGGGAAACGATGACTTATATCTATCCCTCTAAAAGGCGATGGCAGGTAGCAAATTACCTTGACAGGAAGCTCATAAAATGTAACACGTAACCGCGGGATATCGGGTGACAACATTCTAACCCCAGAGGACTGCGCTAACAATTTGAAAACTTTCGCGATCGTTGACAAATATAGTGTGAAGTTTAAAGTCTTTTTCCTTTTAGTTTTTGCTTGTTTTGTATGCAATCAGAGTTGACAAGAATAACTCCCAGAATTTTTGAAATGCTTAGTGAAAGAGTTTTGTTTTCTCAACATGAGACTTTCGGTACCTTTTGTTACGTTCTTATGCGGTACTCAAACTTCTCAACGCTAGACCAAACAAAAAAAGTTTTTTCAGGATAACTAAACTAACCATATTTTGAGTGCAGCGGGAGATATTTGTTTCAGAAAATGGCTGAAACAATCTCTTTAACTTTACTGGTGATAAACTAATGAAATGATTCAAGAGGCAAAAATGACGCAAACTTGTTTGGTTTCATCAATACGTCCAGAACCTGTAGTAGCAAATCTTACATCAGTTGTCTCTTTGAAGGCCCAAAATGAAAAGGGCCCGTTCAAATTGCGTATTTTGGTTTACGTCAGAGGAGTTTTTCGGACGTGTGCTCTGTCAAAATTTCAGCGGAACTTTATATAGTTTACTTAAGGGTTTACTCGATTCGCTATGTTCGTTTGTTTACAAGGCCAAGACCAGATAGAATTCTGAATTTTTCAAGGAAATCTAGGTAAAATCGAGACAGATTTTTTTAGATTTAAGCTTTCAGATAATAGCTTTAGGGTAATGAGTAGTCACCAGAGGTCACAGCCCAGAAAATGAAACACAAGTGCGGCAGGAAAAGCGCCTGGCTAAAATTTGAAGAAATCAATGAATTGATACGAGGAAGAAAACAATGATATCGAAAAGAGGATATCAAAAATCCGGAATGAAAGTAATAAGATTAGGTTTAATCCGAATAAACGTTTATATTGTTTTTAACTACAATCTGTCACTCTTGGCATTTGGGCTGAGTGCGGAAGCGAAACTTAAGACAATTTGTTGGATCAACAACCTCTCTACCCTGAATTCTTTTCTATATAAATTAATGGGATCACCTCGACAATGTTTTAAAAAAGTTTATCGTTCTAGTATTTGTTTTGTCCTGTTTGTATACGAATAATCCTAATGGCATGAATGGTAGAAAGATTTGATAAATGTTCCTCCTTATCTCCAACAAAGAGACTTTCGCTGAATCAATGTTACATTCTTGTGGTGCACATAAACCCTTTCCATATTTCGAGCAAACTCGATTGAAATTCAGCGTCTTCACGAAAATAAGTAGGAAACAAAATGATGTATTTTAACTTCGCAACTTATTATTCTTTCAGCCCGCAGATGTTGCCTTTTTCATTATTTTTTTGATCTTTAACCTTTCAGTGTCTACATGGGAAGTTTCATATTTGAGTGCTAAAGAAGCTTTGCAGTAGGAAGTTCCTTGACCCAGCATACGTTTCTCAAGGTGAATATCACACGTGTTAAGCAAAGAAAACCATTACAAATGCCTCCTTTTTCCTCAGCACGTGCTTAAATGAACACGTGAGCCATACACGTGTTCATTTCTCTTTTCCTTCTATTTTGTGTTCATATATAAGTATTAAGTACGTGTTTCCCCCTTATGCTGACTCATAAAGGCCGGGTTTGCCTTTGAGAGGCATTGGCCCGCCCAAAATTGTCCTTTTCTCTCTTTTTTTCCAGAAAGAAAAATGGGTTTCATTGGGTAAATACGAAGGACAGCCTATCTGTTGGGTGTTGAAGTTTGATGGCAGAGATGAAATAACCGCAGACATTATAAAACCACAAATGTCAAGCAGGAAGAGTGAGAGATTGCTTCGCCACTCTGTCATCTTCACCGAGCGTGGAGGACATCTCTGATTAAACGAACGTGACAAAAACAAGAGCATTAACCAGAATACAACCTATGATTTCCGGTTCCTCTGTATTTCTCGTGAAAGCAAATGAATGAGTAACTTTCACACTCAAAGTAATATTACTCGCTTCAAAGGAATATGAATCAATGCAGGAGAATTTGACGAATTGTTCTTGGTGAGGGAGGTCATCTTAGCAGGACTCCTTTCCAATTTACGCCGTGAAAACTGGGCTAGACTCCAGGAGTCGGCGCCGGGTGACACTTTACTAGAGATTTCGCCCAATTTCGATATTCATTTAAATATCTTTGACAGTAAATGTGTCCCAGAATAGTAAAGTTATTTTCTTCATTTCAAGATAAAAATATCCATATTTATTTGTAAATTTGTCAATCCACGTTTAATGGGACATGATAAAATTTGTTGCACCGAATCTTCCTCCGCTGGTGTTGTGACATTCACTGGATGTTATAATCATAAGTGTTGAAACTCTATTACGACACTTCGACAACGAAACAGTTTCTTCAAAGTTTTTTCTTTTCAAGGAAATTATAGCATTTTTGTTTGAAGTTTTACGGTAAACAATGAAATATAACCCAGATTTGGAAGCATAAAAGAAACAAAAAAACCTTCATTGGACGTGAAATAATTCTCTACGTTCGGGTGTTAATTCCGCCTTTAAAAATTGAGGTTGTCCTCAAACCAGCCATGTGGGTAGGGTAACGATTCCGATCCAATGCGATGTTTTAAATTCTCATGATTTACTTTCCGGTCTATTTGTGGGCAAAAATATCTACCATTTCACAAGGATTTCTACTTTTAACCCTTTCACTCCCAAGATCTCATCAGTAATTCTCCTTACTATCTGCCATACAATTCTTAGGATGTTAGTTTGGAGAATTTGGTGATGTATCAACTAAAAATCCCCGCTATTTCTTTATTCTCATCACTTGTCTGCTTGATATTGCATCAAACTTTAAAGAGAAATTCTCTCTTGGTCACTCATGGGTGTTAGAGGGTTAACTTTCTGATGCGATGTTTACTGCGACGCGCAAATTATCGTCAGCTTTAAGGAAACCACAAAATATTCGATCGGTGAGATGGGAAACTTGCCATGGTAGGAGTACACCAAACAGGAACGAAGCTGATGCAGAAAGATTGACACAAACTGAACACGACAGACCGAAGAAAAAATCCAACGGACATTGGATCTGTTTGCCGACATAATTGAGACGACTTTGTAACAATAAGGGAATCAAAAGTTGGAATTTATGACGGAATTTGTTACCACACTGAACAGAACTAATACGGAATACTTCGGCTAGCACTCCTTTACCTGTAAATTCCCTTTTAATCACAAGTTGATGCTGGTAAAAAAAAACGGGAAAATACGAAAAGGCGTATTCACCCACATAAATGGCGAATCAGTCCGCAAACGTCGCCGCTGGATTATAAACTTTCTGTATCAGGAAATTCCTTGAGGCTGAAAAAGCGATGGGTGTGTGTAAAACGCCTTTTGTCTCATCGAAAGAAGACCTTTGTGACGCTCATTGACTTTCCCCCTTTGGTTAAGTTTCACGACACTGAATTTCGAGAAAATGGGAGGTAACCATCCAACGAGAATTGAATTTTGCTGAGTTTGGCTGAACTAAGTTTACTGTACTATTACTGATTCACTCATTGATGACTTGTTCGATTTCACTCGTAGCTCGGAATCAAATCTTCATTTTGCGCGGAAGACTTCGATAAGTCATTTGGATTTAAGATGGATTATCTCCAAGTTTCGAATATATTTTCATCAAAAGTTTTCATTTTAAAAATTTTTAGGTAAAAAATGATAAAATTTACACTCGCGGAAACAACAAACGCGGTTCAAAGGAAGCCTCATTTGAAAACAAAAGGCAGGAATCAGGAAAGAAAACAGTGATCTAGAAAAGCCGAAATTTAAAATCCGATAAAAAGGTAGTAAGATTAATTTAAATCCGAGTTCAGCGTCTGTTTTTGTCGGTTGTTGTTGTTGATTTTCACGAGTCTGTCGCTGCTTGTGTGTGTAATAAGAGGTCGAGACGTCGAAAATGTACCTAATCGCATTCTTTCGTTTGCATTTAAAAGGATCTATTTTCATCACCAAAACCCGAATCAGCCTCTGTCTTTTTTATCTTTAACCTTCTTTCCGTGTTTGAAGCTATATCATCCTGCAACTGCAACTGAAGTGTCGCAGACTTGCATTCGTGTCCCAGGCCTGCATTCGTTTCCCACGATCCATTTCATTCATGGATCTGACGATAGCATGGATAAGTGTTCTTAATATTTATCAAAGATTAGTTGCCGAGGAAACAATCATTGCCGCCACATTTCACCTACGTTACCCTAAGTTATTCGAATCAAGCATATTTAGGGGTGTTTCCGTTTTTCTTCCTTTTCGGCGCACACGTGTGTGTAGGTGTCTTTTGCTTACACTGAATCATGCAATCTCCAGCCAACCTTAAACTTATCAGTCGTAATTTAAAAATTATGTTCGATGCACTGCGAGTTCTTCTTTTATTCGCTTTCTTCTTGTTTTTATTTTCAACAGAGAGGATTAGCCTGCTTTCATGGGTGAAAAACTATCCTTTTGTCGGTTATTATTGTCTGGGTAAAAACGAAAAAAAGGATCAACCAACAAGGTATCCTAATGTTGTTTTATCTGCTTCGATGGAGAGGATAGCTCTGATTTCACAAATGTAGCTAAAGCGATATTTTCTCAGAGAGAACCGAAAGGAACTGTTAATTTCCAGCTTGTTTTTGGATTTCCCAGCGATTGCCTCTTTCAAAATCAAAAAGGCATTGTAGAAATAATTTGATTCTTTTATCATGAATAAAAACCTTTGTAACAGACAACGAAAGTGTCATGTGTTTAAGTAGAATAAGGAAGAGATGGTAAAGTTCAAACTCGGTCGACGAGTTTATTGATGTAGTCTCTTGGGTGGGATGAAAAAAAATTTTGAGCCTCCTACGAAGAAACAAACCCCAGACATAAGCAGTGACCGCGGAATCCGAAGATTGGACGAATTAAAAACCTGACG